AGACAGACAGACAGACAGACAGACAGACAGACAGACAGACAGACAGACACAGACAGACAGACAGACAGACAGAACGATAGATAGAACGATAGATAGAAAGATAGAACGATAGAAAGAATGATAGATAGATAGATAGATGATAGATAGATAGATAGACAGACAGACAGACAGACAGACAGACAGAACGATAGATAGAACGATAGATAGAAAGATAGAACGATAGATAGAAAGAATGATAGATAGATAGATAGATAGATAGACAGACAGACAGACAGACAGAACGATAGATAGAACGATAGATAGAAAGATAGAACGATAGAAAGAATGATAGATAGATAGATAGATGATAGATAGATAGATAGATAGATAGATAGATAGATAGATAGATAGATAGATAGATAGATAGAACGATAGATAGACAGATAGACATAGAGATAGGTAGATGGAGATATAGAATAGAGATGGATGGATGGATGACAGATGGAAAAATAATAGAGACAGAAAAATAGATAAGATGGATGGTTGGAGATAGAGAATAGAGATGGATGGATGACAGATGGAAGAATTATAGACAGAAAAATAGATAAGACGGATGGATGGAGATAGAGAAGAGATGAATGGATGGATGGATGGATGACAGATGGAAGAAAAACAAATGGACAGATAGATGGATGGATAATAAGACAGAAGGATGGGTAGATGAATGGTGTAAATACAAGCTGGTTCCAAAGGCCCTGAATTTTGGTCACGTGATCATGGGGATGCTGTGACCAACGTTAAGTCGAGGACTATCTACATATGTTTGTGCTGCTCCTAAGAGTTGAAGTCCACATATCTGAAAGCTGCCAAGGTAGAGAAAACGGATTATACTTAGTCCTCGACTTATGACTGTTCACTTAGCAACCATTCAAAGTTACAACAGACCTCCCTGGAGGCACTTTTTGATCTGGATTTGAAGTTCCAGCGGTTACCGCCCTCATGAACACACATTCATGGCTGTTGGCAGCATCCCAGAGTCACACAACTATTTTTTGGCTGAAAACAGGCATTTTGTTCTGGTTTTCGGCAAAACCACTGCTTCACTTAATGACCAAAGCCCTCGCTTAATGACTGCTGCAAAAAAAAAACCCCAGCAAATCATAAGAGTCGGGTCTGTCACACAACTGAGCCGAGTTATTGGCCGTCATGAGTTATGACTGTGATGGGCAAGCTGAGGACACAAACTGAGGACTACCAGTAGGGCAGTGGTCTCGGGTGACAAAGTTGTAACAGGCAGCAGGGATTTTATTCCTGAACCTGACAAAGAACACAGCCACACAGCGACAACTGCTGGGTCTTGTGTGCACAAATTGCCTCCGTGCACAAAGGTGCAACTGGAAGCTAAACTCAGCTGAGTTCTCAATTTGCGTCCACAATTGAGCCTACATTTTCCATCGCTAAGTGAGACAGTGAGTGTTAAGCGAGTTTTGCCCCAATTTAACACCCTTTCCTGCCAGAGTTGTTAAGTGAATCCCTGCAGCTGTTAAGCTAGTCACACGGTTGTTAAAGGAATCCGGCTTCCCCACTGACTTTGCTAGTCAGAAGGTCTGCAAACATGGCCCCGGGACACTGCGACGGTCGTAAGTATGAGTCAGTTGCCAAGCATCCGAATTTTGACCATATGATGCTGCAACAGTCATAAGTGTGAGGACCGATCCTAAGTCAATTTTCATACTGCTGCTGTAACTTCAATCACTAAATGAACTGTTGCTAAGTCGAGGACTACCTGTAGGAATTTTTATTATTGTGTGTGTGTGTGTGTGTGTGTTTTCCCTTTGGTCAATAAGTAAAATATAATGCAAGTAAATCAAGGTTTACTGGCCCTCTTCATACAGCACTCTCGTCAAATGATCGCTTTTGTTACCTGTGCGTGCCATTGTAGCTTCAAACGGTCGCTAAATGGGCGGTCGTAAGCTGAGGACTGCCTGACT